TTTGATAAACAATTTGTTTTTCAAAACAGACATTCAGAGCACAGCTAGTGCTTTAGGTCTAACTGAAGGAGAATCTCTCCTCTTTATGTTAAGAAACCATGTGGGCTGATTTCACTTTTCAAATTTATCTTAGGTTGATGACTCCATATACAGATGAGGACATACAAATAATAAAAAATGGCTATGGAAGAACATGCTGGGAAGTGAGTTTCTGTCGATAAATTTATAAGAACTTGACATTGCTTGTCGAAAATTGTAATGTTGCATTATAAGAACTTGACATTGATTGTCGAAAATTGTAAATATTTGTCTGGTTGTTTTTGTAAATAGTCCTACAGAAGCAATTGTAAATATGCAACTGTGACCAAATATATTGATTTTTTGTTCCCTTGTATAAGTGTCATTAATTTTGATTTAGATATGATTACTGATGTAAGAACTGCATATTAAATTGCAGTAGGTAAAAAGGTGCTGCTTTAACACCAAATGTAGTGCTATTTAAACACCCAAAGGTGTTATTCTGACACCAGAATGGGTGTTAATTTAGCACCAGGGATTGGAGTTAATTTAGCACCCAGGTCATGGTGTTAAAATAGCACCTCGATAGGTGTTATTTTTGCCATATTCATTCAACACCTTTTTTGGTGCTATAATGACACCTTCAAATTAACAGTGATGCTGTGATGAACAATCACTGATGCATGATCTATTTACACGCCCTGTGAACTGCCTGATTTCTATCATGCAATAATTAATTCCTATGATAAAAGCTTCCGCCAACCGTCACAGCGAGTTCCCCGAGACCCTTTCTTTTTTCTCAGTCTTATTATAATTCCAAAATTCTGCTGGCAATTGAAAAGCAGTTTGGAAGGCATACCAATTCCAGAGAACCTATTAATGTGCCCACGACGTAAAATCTGTGGTAAAATAAACAGGTAAGTTCCAAGCTATCCGTGGTAAAGCAAAATAAGCGACTCCTAAGCAATTATGTAGTCGTGGCCGAGTGGTTAAGGCGACAGACTTGAAATCTGTTGGGATATTCCCGCGCAGGTTCAAATCCTGCCGACTACGACTCTTAATAGTCCGAAAGATGATCATGTAACACGGAGAAGTTGTTTGCCATCTGGTGGAATTTCGTCTCAAAACATACGACTTAATAATTTTTTTCATTTTTTAAAAAATACCAGTCAGAGCAGTTAAAATTTCTAATACTTGATGTGAAATGGTTAATATTATACCCTTTTAACGCAAATTTATGCATTCCCATTCGGTTACAAAAAAATTATGTAAATAAACATGGTGATTGGACTAAAACGTAATTACCTCTTGTCAAAGGGACCTATATTCAGAAATTATTGCTTTTTTATAGGCTTGTTTTCAACAGCAAAATGGGATGTTTTCCGCACGAATTAACGGAAGTCTCTTGAACCTTAGTTTTTCATGTAATATACCGGATTTTTTTAAAATTACACGAAAGATAATGAACTATTCCCCAGGTGTGGCTTGCTGGTCTAGTGGTATGATTCTCGCTTTGGGTGCGAGAGGTCACGGGTTCGATTCCCGTGCAAGCCCTAATTGCCCCAATAACTTGAAATTTTTGCGCGATTGAGTTTCTTTCCTAGCTTTTAAAAAAAAAAGCAGTGTTGAACTCAAGTTGCAATCTCCCGATAAAACTTTTCCCATGCAGCATCAATCCTATCAATATACATGCAAGGAGGAGATCTAGTATGCATAAATGTAGACGTTGTAGGCATGTCAACAATGAAGACCTTGTCAATCATCATATACAAGTACTGAACATCAGGAAAATGAATTCGTGCGACTTTTTTATAGTGCGTGGCACATTTTTCATAACCCAAGAATAATTTGTAACTCAAAAATAACACTGTAACATTTTCAACTATCATATCACCGTATGATTACCATTGCATCGTCTACAGGATAATCTCAGTAACGGTGTTTGTGAAAGCTACAGAATTGATCGACCAAACTTAAACACTAATATTTTTCCTTTTAGTTTTAGCTTGGCAGGAATAACTATTTTTCGCCGATGATTCATTTTACCTTTTTCAAAAGTATTACGGGTTTGCCTTATTAGCTCAGTGGTTAGAGCACTGGTCTCGTAAACCAGGGGTCCGGAGTTCAACTCTCTGATAAGGCTTGATTTTTTTAACTGTGTATGGTAAGGGTGAGTAAAAGACTTAAATATTTGTGATCATTACGCATTTAATAATCGCCGTGAAAAAATTTACCTGCAAAATACGTTTTTTGAAACATTTGTTTACATTTCTATTCGCGCAAGGTTTTTTTTCTCGGTGCCTCCTTAGCTCAGTGGTTAGAGCACTGGTCTAGTAAACCAGGGGTCCAGAGTTCGAATCTCTGAGGAGGCTTTCCACATTTTCAACTTAAACTTAATAAGTATCTACGAACATGAACGAATGTTTTGACCGGCTTCTTGTATATAACGATACTGAACAAAGTTTCATGACTTGTTCTTTATAAATCAAAATCTATAATAATTCATTGGGTTTTATTGACATGTGTTCCATTGTTATCATCAACCAAGAGCAAAGCTTGTTCATATAGGTAACGTATACCTAACCCTTAAACTTGGGCATGGTAAATAATGAAACTTCTTATGTAGGCTCATCTTATATAAGTTCTAATTTGAAATAAAAAAGCGTGTAATATCTTATACTTTAGAGAACAACCAATAAAAATAAAAACTTAACCCCCATGACCAAAACTGCTAAGGCTCGAAATCAGAATTAGCAGCCATTGATTGCAGTTTAATTGCTGTCTCGGATATGCTGCTGAATGCTGTGATGAACAATCACTGATGCATGATCTATTTACACGCCCTGTGAACTGCCTGATTTCTATCAATAATTAATTCCTATGATAAAAGCTTCCGCCAACCGTCACAGCGAGTTCCCCGAGACCCTTTCTTTTTTCTCAGTCTTATTATAATTCCAAAATTCTGCTGGCAATTGAAAAGCAGTTTGGAAGGCATACCAATTCCAGAGAACCTATTAATGTGCCCACGACGTAAAATCTGTGGTAAACTAAACAAGTAAGTTCCAAGCTATCCGTGTTAAAGCAAAATAAGCGACTCCTAAGCAATTTTGTAGTCGTGGTCGAGTGGTTAAGGCGACAGACTTGAAATGTGTTGGGATAATCCCGCGCAGGTTCAAATCCTGCCGACTACAACCCACTATAGTCTGGATGATGTTCATAGAAATTGTTTGCCACCAGGTGGAATTTCGTTTCAAATTTCAAAACATACGACATAATATTTTTTTAATTTTTTAGAAAATACCAGTCAGAGCAGTTAAAATTTCTAATACTTGATGTGAAATGGTTAATATTATACCCTTTTAACGCAAATTTATGCATTTCCATTCGGTTACTAAAAAAATGTAAAACAGGTATGCACGATCAGGGAGTGTAGCTCAGTGGTAGAGCATTCGACTCCACATGCATGTTCTAAAAATTTGTAAAAACGGGGGTCCATACCTGGAATACAGGGAATATAATTACTTTATCTTAATAATGGGCGTGCATAGATATACTGTAGAGCCAGGAATTTCTCAGTAATTTTTTTAGGTGTTTATGTCCTGTGGTGTAATGGTTAGCACTTCGGGCTCTGAGTAGGATAAATTATATAGTTGCTATAGCTGCCCATATACTTTTGTAAATACAAAAGTATGCAAAAGCCTCATCAGAGAGTTGAACTCTGGACCCCTGGTTTACAAAACCAGTGCTCTAGCCACTGAGCTAATGAGGCGTATGTGCAAGCTTAACACGAATATAATTGTATGAATACTTAATCTTAATAATGTGCATGCGCGTAGCAAACTACATAATTATATATTATCCAGCCAACATTCGTCAGTAAGTTTGATAGATTTTTAGGGTCTGTGGTGTAATGGTTATCACTTCGGACTCTGACTTCGAGAATCGGAGTTCAATTTTTGGTAGAAACTCTTTGAAATAATTCATTCTCCGTCTTTATGTATTTTTTTATTTCAGACTTTCTCTTACAGGTGTCTAAGAATATAGCATATGACAGGTATGCTGCATGGAACGCTCAGAGAGAGTAGCATATAGTGGTAGAGGATCCGACTACAGGTTGACAGGTCACTGGGGTCAGTGGTTCAACTCCGCTCGCTCCTTCCTGTTCTATAAATTAAAGAAAAATTAAATATTTTTATGGTACCCATTAGTGCATGAAAAATCCCAATTTATTTTCGTGGAAAAAAGCCGTACGTTTGATAAACAATCCATGCAGTTTAGGTTTTTTGAATGACTCTCTGGGACACGTTCTATAATAATAGGGACCTTACGCATGTAGGACGGCAACACGACGACGACGCGGCTGAAATTCTCCTTTAAATAGATGCTATAGCAAAGTGGTTGTTGTATATTATTAATTGTACCGATTTAGTGAGATATAAGGCGTTAAAAACATTGTGTTCATGTTTAAGGACAATTCTATAGAGCCTAATTCGAAGTAGGGCTCGCTGGGTCCTGAAATGCAACCGTTCTAGGCAAGACGTAAAAAACGACGTTTTCCCGTTGTAAACAGAACGAAAACAACGTCTAAAACCCATCAAGGGTCTTTAATTATTCATTTCTTTTCAATGACCCATTGTATTGATAGCCGTCGTCGTCGTGTTCGCGTCCTACATGCGTAAGGTCCGTATTATATTTGTAAACCAGGGCTCCATACCTGGAATAGGGGGAATATATGTAAATACTTCATCTTAATAATGTGCGTGTATATAGACTATACATCACAGCGCGGGTCAGATGTATATGATGAGTCGTCAAAAGATTGCAGAATACGTATTCGGAAGAAAAATTGAACTTTTTCATGCTATTCAAAAGGTTTCTCTTTGATAGCGGTACAGAAATACACGATTGGGAACCAGCGATTAGATTTCCAGGTCGAAATGTCTCAAACACCAATTTCTGCTGTGTCTTTCAGTAAATAGTTAGGTTCTGTTGTGTAATGGTTAGCACTTCGGACTCTGAATCCGGGAATCCGAGTTCAATTCTCGGTAGAACCTTGCTGGAACTGTTAATTTTATGTCTTTATGTAAATTTTTTAGCTCAGGTTTTCTCTTATAGCCCATTTGAGAAAAAATACATGTTTTTGAATAAGATTTCGAAAAGATCTTTTTTATTGAAATGATAAGTTTAGCAGGAAATGGTTTCGATCCATTGACCTCTGGGTTATGGGCCCAGCACGCTTCCACTGCGCCACCCTGCTTGCTACACACTGCTTCTATGCTATGAACATAAAACTTGTGCTATTTCGAATAAGGTAAGAACAGCAAGAAATGTTGTTTTAGGAGAATAGCTTCAAACAGGTATGCACGATCAGGGAGTGTAGCTCAGTGGTAGAGCATTCGACTGCAGATCGAGAGGTCAGTGGTTCAACTCCGCTCGCTGCCTTCTCTTTTATCAATGAAAAAAAATCCAACATTTTTATCGTACTAATTTGTGAATTAAAAAACCCAAATTTATTTTCGTTCCAACAATCCGTTTGATTGATAAATAATCCTTGCAGTTTAGTGTTTTTTCAATGACTCTCTGGGACACATGCATGTTCTATAAATTTGTAAAACGGGAGTCCATACCTGGAATACAGGGAATATAATCACTTTATCTTAATAATGGGCGTGCATAGATATACTACTGTTGAGCCAGGAATTTCTCAGTAATTTTTCTATATATACTTTTGTAAATACAAAAGTATGCAAAAGCCTCATCAGAGAGTTGAACTCTGGACCCCTGGTTTACAAGACCAGTGCTCTAACCACTGAGCTAATGAGGCGTATGTGCAAGCTTAACACGAATATAATTATATAAATACTTTATCTTAATAATGTGCATGCGCGAAGCAAACTACATAATTTTATACTATGCAGTCAACATTCGTCAGTAAGTTTGATAGATTTTTAGGGTCTGTGGTGTAATGGTTATCACTTCGGACTCTGAATTCGAGAATCGGAGTTCAATTCCTGGTAGAAACTCTTTTAAAACATTCATTCTCCGTCTTTATGTATTTTTTTATTTAAAGCTTTCTCTTACAGGTATCTAAGAATATAGCATATGACAGGTATGCTGCATGGAATGCTCAGAAAGAGTAGCATATAGTGGTAGAGCATCCGACTGCAGGTTGACAGGTCACTGGGGTCAGTGGTTCAACTCCGCTCGCTCCTTCCTGTTTTATAAACTAAAGAAAAATTAAATATTTTTATGGAACCCATTAGTGCATGAAAAATCCCAATTTATTTTCGTGGGAAAAAGCCGTACGTTTGATAAACAATCCATGCAGTTTAGGTTTTTTGAATGACTCTCTGGGACACATGCATGTTCTATATTATATTTGTAAACCAGGGCTCCATACCTCGAATAGGGGGAATATATGTAAATACTTCATCTTAATAATGTGCGTGTATATAGACTATACATCACAGCGCGGGTCAGATGTATATGATGAGTCGTCAAAAGATTGCAGAATACGTATTCGGAAGAAAAATTGAACTTTTTCATGCTATTCAAAAGGTTTCTCTTTGATAGCGGTACAGAAATACACGATTAGGAACCAGCGATTAGATTTCCGGGTTGAAATGTCTCAAACACCAATTTCTGCTGTGTCTTTCAGTAAATCGTTAGGTTCTGTGGTGTAATGGTTATCACTTCGGACTCTGATTTCGAGAATCGGAGTTCAACTCTTGGTAGAAACTGTTTGAAAACATTCATTCTCCGCCTTTATGTATTTTTTTATTTCAGGCTTTCTCTTACAAATATCTAAGAATATAGCATATGAAAGGTATGCTGCATGGAACGCTCAGAGAGAGTAGCATATAGTGGTAGAGCATCCGACTGCTGGTTGACAGGTCACTGGGGTCAGTGGTTCAATTCCGCTCGCTCCTTCCTGTTCTATAAATGAAAGAAAAATTAAACATTTTTATGGTACCCATTAGTGCATGAAAAATCCCAATTTATTTTCGTGGGGAAAAGCCGTACGCTTGATAAACAATCCATGCAGTTTAGGTTTTTTGAATGACTCTCTGGGACACATGCATGTTCTATATTATATTTGTAAACCAGGGCTCCATACCTCGAATAGGGGGAATATATGTAAATACTTCATCTTAATAATGTGCGTGTATATAGACTATACCTCACAGCGCGGGTCAGATGTATATGATGAGTCGTCAAAAGATTGCAGAATACGTATTCGGAAGAAAAATTGAACTTTTTCATGCTATTCAAAAGGTTTCTCTTTGATAGCGGTACAGAAATACACGATTGGGAACCAGCGATTAGATTTCCAGGTTGAAATGTCTCAAACACCAATTTCTGCTGTGTCTTTCTGTAGATGGTTAGGTTCTGTGGTGTAATGGTTAGCACTTCGGACTCTGAATCCGGGAATCCGAGTTCAATTCTCGGTAGAACCTTGCTGGAACTGTTAATTTTATGTCTTTATGTAAATTTTTTAGCTCTGGTTTTCTCTTATAGCCCATTTGAGAAAAAATATATGTTTTTGAATAAGATTTCGAAAAGATCTTTTTTATTGAAATGATAACTTTAGCAGGAAATGGTTTCGATCCATTGACCTCTGGGTTTTGGGCCTAGCACGCTTCCACTGCGCCGCCCTGCTTGCTACACACTGCATCTATGCTATGAATATAAAACTTGTGCTATTTCGAATAAGGTAAGAACAGCAAGAAATGTTGTTTTAGGAGAATAGCATCAAACAGGTATGCACGATCAGGGAGTGTAGCTCAGTGGTAGAGCATTCGACTGCACATCGAGAGGTCAGTGGTTCAACTCCGCTCGCTCCCTTCTCTTTTATCAATGAAAAAAATTCCAACATTTTTATCGTACTAATTTGTGAATTAAAAAACCCAAATTTATTTTGGTTGCAACAATCCGTTTGATTGATAAATAATCCTTGCAGTTTAGTGTTTTTTCAATGACTCTCTGGGACACATGCATGTTCTATAAATTTGTAAAACGGGAGTCCATACCTGGAATACAGGGAATATAATTACTTTATCTTAATAATGGGCGTGCATAGATATACTAGTGTAGAGCCAGGAATTTCTCAGTAATTTTTCTAGGTGTTTAGTTCCTGTTGTGTAATGGTTAGCACTTCGGGCTCTGAGTAGGATAAATTATATAGTTGCTATAGTTGCCTATATACTTTTGTAAATACAAAAGTATGCAAAAGCCTCATCAGAGAGTTGAACTCTGGACCCCTGGTTTACAAGACCAGTGCTCTAACCACTGAGCTAATGAGGCGTATGTGCAAGCTTAACACGAATATAATTATATAAATACTTTATCTTAATAATGTGCATGCGCGAAGCAAACTACATAATTTTATATTATGCAGTCAACATTCGTCAGTAAGTTTGATAGATTTTTAGGGTCTGTGGTGTAATGGTTATCACTTCGGACTCTGACTTCGAGAATCGGAGTTCAATTCCTGGTAGAAACTCTTTGAAAACATTCATTCTCCGTCTTTATGTATTTTTTTATTTCAAGCTTTCTCTTACAGGTATCTAAGAATATAGCATATGACAGGTATGCTGCATGGAATGCTCAGAAAGAGTAGCATATAGTGGTAGAGCATCCGACTGCAGGTTGACAGGTCACTGGGGTCAGTGGTTCAACTCCGCTCGCTCCTTCCTATTTTATAAACTAAAGAAAAATTAAATATTTTCATGGAACCCATTAGTGCATGAAAAATCCCAATTTATTTTCGTGGGAAAAAGCCGTACGTTTGATAAACAATCCATGCAGTTTAGGTTTTTTGAATGACTCTCTGGGACACATGCATGTTCTATATTATATTTGTAAACCAGGGCTCCATACCTCGAATAGGGGGAATATATGTAAATACTTCATTTTAATAATGTGCGTGTATATAGACTATACATCACAGCGCGGGTCAGATGTATATGATGAGTCGTCAAAAGATTGCAGAATACGTATTCGGAAGAAAAATTGAACTTTTTCATGCTATTCAAAAGGTTTCTCTTTGATAGCGGTACAGAAATACACGATTAGGAACCAGCGATTAGATTTCCAGGTTGAAATGTCTCAAACACCAATTTCTGCTGTGTCTTTCAGTAAATCGTTAGGTTCTGTGGTGTAATGGTTATCACTTCGGACTCTGACTTCGAGAATCGGAGTTCAACTCTTGGTAGAAACTCTTTGAAAACATTCATTCTCCGCCTTTATGTATTTTTTTATTTCAGGCTTTCTCTTACAGGTATCTAAGAATATAGCATATGAAAGGTATGCTGCATGGAACGCTCAGAGAGAGTAGCATATAGTGGTAGAGCATCCGACTGCTGGTTGACAGGTCACTGGGGTCAGTGGTTCAACTCCGCTCGCTCCTTCCTATTTTATAAACTAAAGAAAAATTAAATATTTTCATGGAACCCATTAGTGCATGAAAAATCCCAATTTATTTTCGTGGGAAAAAGCCGTACGTTTGATAAACAATCCATGCAGTTTAGGTTTTTTGAATGACTCTCTGGGACACATGCATGTTCTATATTATATTTGTAAACCAGGGCTCCATACCTCGAATAGGGGAATATATGTAAATACTTCATTTTAATAATGTGCTGTATATAGACTATACATCACAGCGCGGGTCAGATGTATATGATGAGTCGTCAAAAGATTGCAGAATACGTATTCGGAAGAAAAATTGAACTTTTTCATGCTATTCAAAAGGTTTCTCTTTGATAGCGGTACAGAAATACACGATTAGGAACCAGCGATTAGATTTCCAGGTTGAAATGTCTCAAACACCAATTTCTGCTGTGTCTTTCAGTAAATCGTTAGGTTCTGTGGTGTAATGGTTATCACTTCGGACTCTGACTTCGAGAATCGGAGTTCAACTCTTGGTAGAAACTCTTTGAAAACATTCATTCTCCGCCTTTATGTATTTTTTATTTCAGGCTTTCTCTTACAGGTATCTAAGATATAGCATATGAAAGGTATGCTGCATGGAACGCTCAGAGAGAGTAGCATATAGTGGTAGAGCATCCGACTGCTGGTTGACAGGTCACTGGGGTCAGTGGTTCAATTCCGCTCGCTACTTCCTGTTCTATAAATGAAAGAAAAATTAAACATTTTTATGGTACCCATTAGTGCATGAAAAATCCCAATTTATTTTCGTGGGGAAAAGCCGTACGTTTGATAAACAATCCATGGAGTTTATGTTTTTTGAATGACTCTCTGGGACACATGCATGTTCTATATTATATTTGTAAACCAGGGCTCCATACCTCGAATAGGGAATATATGTAAATACTTCATCTTAATAATGTGCGTGTATTAGACTATACATCACAGCGCGGGTCAGTGTATATGATGGTCGTCAAAGATTGCAGATACGTATTCGGAAGAAAAATTGAACT